AACTGTATGTTCTGCTGTAGCAACAGGAACTGTATGTCCTGCTATAGCAACAGGAACTGTATGTTCTGCTGTAGCAACAGGAACTGTATATTCTGCTGTAGCAACAGGAACTGTATGTCCTGCTGTAGCAACAGGAACTGTATATCCTGCTGTAGCAACAGGAACTGCATGTTCTGCTGTAGCAACAGGAACTGCATGTTCTGCTGTAGCAACAGGAACTGTACGTCCTGCTGTAGCAACAAGAACTGTATGTCCTGCTGTATCAACAGGAACTGCATGTTCTGCTGTAGCAACAGGAACTCTACATCCTGCTGTAACAACAAGAACTGTATGTTCTGCTGTAGCAACAAGAACTGTACGTCATGCTGTAGCAACAGGAACTGTACGTCATGCTGTAGCAACAGGAACTGTACGTCATGCTGTAGTATTTCGAAGGGGCCCTACTAATTACCATAAAGTACCCCAACTTAACACACACTGAACAATGCAACAAATAATTAGACACAAACATACATACAATTTGAGGAAATATACTTTATATCCTTGCAGTGAAGTACTTTATGACAAGAAAACTTTTTAAAAGTAAAAGGTAACTATATATATATATACAACACAGTCGTGTTAGGAAAAGGCGTACATTCAGGAACTAAATTTAACACCAAATTACAACACCTTATATCTTGCCCCTGAAGGTCCACTTTTCGAAAGAGCTCGGTTTATATTGTGTTATATTTTGATATACAGCACGTGTAATGGAAATAAATATAATAGTAAGCTTACTGGATAACATAAAATATCAGCCAAATACTTAACAAAAGATACTGTGATGAATTGATAAAACGGCTCAATCTGAATTGTAACGATCCTTTTTGACGGTTACTGCGAATGAAATTAAAACGTAGTGGTAGCCGAGTGTTCGTGGTTACCTTTTTGGTCAGTTTGTGGTAATTAGTGGGACCCGCTTCCACACAATGAACTGCAAACTATTTTATGTTTTTCTAAAGAAGAAGCTTCTTGAAGTTCCCTTAACATTACAGTTCCATTAGACCACACATCGTTCGTTTCTAGATGCAGTTCCAATTAATTGTTGTACTTTTAGTTTGGTTAAATGTTATTTGAAATGCCGATGTCCACAGAGTGTGGTGTGTTGATTCAATCATTTTATGCATGTGTTAGCATCTGAGGTGATTATTCACCTCCTTAACAAACCATGTGGGATATTTTATTGGGTTGTAATACCAAATGACATCATGTGTGGGCAGTAGTGGATATGTCACATGTTTTACATAAATGTGAAATTGAGAGTTGTATTGACTTTATTTGATAACAATAATTATACGTAACGACTGTTCTAGTGTACTCCCATTATCACTTAACTGTTTCTTCAGTTATGTATATTTTGTGATAATACATTTTCTTTTTGTGTAGGCCGCTCGTTGTACGATGAACAACTTCAGAGACATCACCACCCGAATAGGGTAATGATTCTCCCCTTTTTAAAATAAGACTTTGTCCATTCACTTCATTATTTTAACTTTAATCTAATTGTCATTTTATCCTTATTGTATCTAATTATTAATGGGTTTGGCTGGTACTTTATGAAAGTTTACTGATGTGACCGTTTTTCATTGAACTCATTGCCTTACCTTGTCGTCATTAACTCATTACCTTACCTTGTCGTCATTAACTCATTGCCTTACCTTGTCGTCATTAACTCATTAGCCTTACCTTGTCGTCATTAACTCATTCCTTACCTTGTCGTCATTAACTCATTGCCTTACCTTGTCGTCATTAACTCATTACCTTACCTTGTCGTCATTAACTCATTGCCTTACCTTGTCGTCATTAACTCATTACCTCACCTTGTCGTCATTAACTCATTGCCTTACCTTGTCGTCATTAACTCATTGCCTTACCTTGTCGTCATTAACTCATTGCCTTACCTTGTCGTCATTAACTCATTACCTTACCTTGTCGTCATACCTATTCGAAAAGTTGTTCCTGGTCAGTTTTGATAGACATAAGCTTACTGTTTTAAAATCATACATAAAATTAAATATATTATTATTACGAGTTGTTCATTATTTGTAAAACATAGTATAAATTGGTCAGAATTTTAAGGAAAGTAAGGCAATGGGTTAATAGTTAATGTGTATATATTTTTTATTAAAATAGTAATTTATAATAATCATATTGTAAAACTGAATAACAAATTTAATTTCAATTCCACTTTTTATATTAAACTTCTCTATCACTTGTAGACTGAGATCAGAAAAGTCAGATCTTAATTGATAACAGAGGCGTCGCTAGGTGCTTAAAAAATTCGGTGTTTCAGTATGATATCGATTATGGTTTCCTTTTATGATTACAAGTCTATAAACCGGGTTTCGATACCGGTGGTGTCCAGACCACAGATAGCCCAGTGAGATTAACTTCAAATAAACAATCTATTATGATTTTTCAAGACACCAACTTTGGATTCGAAGCATTGTCAAATAGAATAAGGTCACGGGGCCTGTGCCTAGCGACACCTGTGATTGATAAAGCTTAGCATATATTAAACATTTCTTCATTGCATTAACAAGTACCTTGAACATATTTCTGCTTGGAAATATTGTTTTAAGCTATATGTTTTTGTTTTTTAAATCTAGACGTTTCTAGAAAAATTGTTAGTTGTTTATTTAATTGTTGTGTTCCAAGTTTATGGAAAACTTTGAGCTATATATATTGAATGTGAGTTAAGATAGAATGAGTTAGTGACTCTGTTAATGAGTAATAAGTGTACAATTTAGTCATTGTATGTGTTGCTATCAGCCGGTTAGTTAGTTCAGTGCTGTGAATATTTAGTTAATAGCAAGTAAGTGGAGTTTCTGTCAGACGCTGTTTATGAAGTTAGGCCTATCAGTGAACGTTGGTTTTGCTAAAGTGGAATTCCAAATTGAGAAATAAAAGGTTTATGTTATTGTGGACTAGACTTGCTGTTATTCATTTTCTTAAATAAACCAAAATAACTTGGCCAACAATAGAATACATTACAACAAAAACGCATTTCATGTTTCCTCAAGTACCTTTTAAGATTATATAGGTATGCATGAGTGTGTAGTGATTGAAGCGACACGTATATTTAATAGTTAATTCTGTTCTTTTTACTAGATCTACAGGGAAGGACGAAATGTGCAACTTTTATATGATGTATTACGTGGACGGAGATCGCATATTGAAAGACAAATTCTGCTTTTCGGCCGGTCCACCAATGTACCGTTGGCAATACGACCTATCTATAGGCCATATTCCGCCAGAAATTGATTCCGATGCTAGTACTCTTGATGTAGAATGATTTCATTTTATTATTGTCTTTGTGTGTTTTCAGTTGTTATAAAGTTATTCTTTCAAATTATTTACTGAAATAATTCAAAGTTTATTTCTTTCTTTACGTTTCTACATACCCCCTTCACTGTACTCAGATGTAGGCCACGTTTACAAATGACGTTAACAGCACAATACTACCGTAAAGAGTAACCTTACTTATACCATGAGTGAGAAAAAAAAAACAACTAATAAAAATCCCCGACTTATTCGTTCTACTGGCTAGAAATGAATCATGAAACAATTTTCTGTTTTTTTAATCCACTTTTTAACTACCTTCTTGATACTTCGCTCATCCCTTATTTGTAACCTACCCTGAATATATTAAAAAAAACTCGAGTTAAATCTTTATAACTTTCTAGGCCTAATTTAACGTCATCATTATGATCTGCGACTCCCTCTATCTAACATCTATTCTACAACATTAACAATATTATGAAAACTAAATCTCAGTATAAAATCATAGTTGCTTGTTATATTAGTGATATAAAGAGAGTTTCTGTTTAAAATTACCTGTTATTCATCTAAAATCGAAATTGATCGGTTAACTAGGGCTACATGCTGACATTTTATTGATTTCCTCCAGATGTAAAAAAGTAGTAAGTCCGCAGACATACCGCTATGACAAAAGAGCATAGCTTTTGAAGACGTTTTTTAGGATAATTTATTTTCAAGTCTCTAAATATAGTAAATTTTTGTAATTGTTCAAAACACTGTAAGTACTTGTTTTAATCAGAACATCGTTTGCTTAATTATTTATGTAAAATTAATAATTACTGATACAAAATATATTTGTTAAATTACACCCTTTATCGAGTGAGCAAAGTGATACTAATTGTACATAAGAAAATAATATTTTGGTAGCGTGATATTACAATTTGTGATACAATAAAAATTATATGTACAGCTGTTACATTAACTGAAATTTTTTAACATTTTATTTTTTTTACTTAAAATTTTTAGCAAAATGTAATTCGTTAACTGTTAATTTTAGAGTAAAGATAATAACTTGTAAAAAAGTGTTACAGTTTATACCATAATTTCATATATTATAGTATTAAGCTACAGTTTATACAGGCACGGGTAATTTGACGATTTGATAACCTATCTTTTAGAAATTGCTAATTATAATTCAAAATGTACTTTTACAGTCTATAGTTATGCCGTTGATTGTTGTTACCATTACCGTGTTATTTGTTTGAAGTATGGCACGATAATTTGTATTTTGTATAACAGTCTACCGGTACTTAGTTATATAAGGCTTAATAATGTTTTTGAAATCTAGTTTTGATTTTTAATTTTCACGTTGTACTTTTAGTTTTTACCGTTAATCAAAATGACGAATTGAAGAGTTGTTAGGCCTAACATATTTATTAATAACACGTTTGACCTAAGCCTACTAAGGTGTTTATGTTATCGTTCCTTTTGAATAATGAATAGTTTATTATATTTAGTTGGAAAAGGCTGTATTGATCTCTTGCACTTTTTACAATAATATTAAAGCTTGAAGGTGGTGGACGTATTAATAAATATCCGATATTGCTTTTGTAAATCTTTGGATTAAATAACACAAAACATACCTTTGAATTACACAATAAGGCCTAATCGTATTTTTATTTTATTTAAAGAAATGTCATCATTCTTATCTTACCTCTTAAACTTTATAAAGAAAATTCATTCAACGAAAATAAAATATTCAAAATCATCTTTAACCACAACTGTTTGTTAAAAGAAATCAATACAGAATTTTTGGAGCAACTACTTTCTATTAAACTAAAGTTAAAAAATATATAAAAGCCATAAAGCAGTTTTACACTTTTGCTAAACATTTCTAACCAACAGTAACGATAAATAGTAAATATTAGGTTTCACGGAGAACAGTCCAACAAACATTTGTTTTTATTATTCTGTAATAATAAACCCTCATAAATAATTGCTATTTACAAATTAACAGTAAACATGATACCATTTATATTAAACGAAAAACATTCTTAGATCTTATTTAATAATATACACAGAACTATTAATGGTGACATAATTTCATAGACAAGTTTATCTTTCTTCAAATTTTGCGACAGAAGGTAATGTCTCATAACCTCTGGCAAAACTGGAAAATAAGGTCACTTTTGCTGACCTACTATTTTCTAGAGTTATTGTTCAGAAATGTTCAAGCTCGATGCCCTCTTAAGTTTATTCCCTGACAAACTCTGTGTGTATGTGGTGTTGAACATATATGCAAACATTACATAAAGGAAGTCCTGATTATTCCATTACACGTAAACGTAACTGTAAAGCAAAAAATGCATACATATTAAAAGATTTTATGGTGTTGAAGTACGAAGTAAACCATTTAGTATTAATGGAAGATACAGTTGGCATCGCAAATAAATATAAACACATGAAACAAGGGTTTTACACTTTGATTTATCAGATCCCAATTCATATTTTGTGTTGGTTCAGAGATCAATATTTTTGAAAACACGTATACACTTGTACATAAAACGTACTTAAATTTAACACTCATATTCACATCCAGCCAATGTATAACACGACATTCCACATGTGCGCTTGGAAACCAATATTCAAAGTCCTTTCAGTCTTTAGATGTATTAATAAATCCTTGCAATCACTTTCAATCCAGTAAACTATAAGTGTTCTAGGCATGACATCTAATCAACATCAACTGTCCTAGCTACGAGTAGCCAGTAACATGTGGTTTGCTCCACAAAGATTATACTACTACTACTTGGCTGAACAGTGCAAGTGATTAGCGCAAAATGTCTTTCAAACATCTTTTAACTGAAAAATTCTAATACCTTGGAAAGTAATGGTTGCATCATCTTTTTAGCTTAGAAATATTTTTAAGTCCCTAGCGAGTATCACCAGTTGAATAAACTGTTGATGATCTTGGAGTTGTACCTACTAACGTTAGTTGTCTTAAATCATGCAACTATCACATGAGGTCTTAGAAACGAAACTATTTGAAAGCTCAGAAAGTGTCGCAGAGCTTCTTCTGTTACAAGATCCTGCTGTGGAACACAAGCTGATAGCCTGGAATGCTACTTCCGTCAGTCAGCCAAGATCAGGAGGTAAACTCCATAGCTGGTCACCAAAGCAGCTGTTACAAGATCCTGCTGTGGAACACAAGCTGATAGCCTGGAATGCTACTTCCGTCAGTCAGCAAAGATCAGGAGGTAAACTCCATAGCTGGTCACCAAAGCAGCTGTTACAAGATCCTGCTGTGGAACACAAGCTGATAGCCTGGAATGCTACTTCCGTCAGTCAACCAAGATCAGGAGGTAAACTCCATAGCTGGTCACCAAAGCAGCTGTTACAAGATCCTGCTGTGGAACATAAGCTGATAGCCTGGAATGCTACTTCCGTCAGTCAACCAAGATCAGGAGGTAAACTCCATA